TTGTCGAAGTGACAAACACAGCGTTACTGTCATTTTCGATTCAGTGGAAATGCCACAATGTGATCAAAAACTTCTAGCTATAGGGATTCGATACAGATGCGTTATTACCAACGAAGTCTCCAGAAAGGTATGAGAAGCTATACACGCGTTTTATCGAATGGTGCAACAATAATGAAATAAAAATACCGAATGAAGAATAGGTATTTTTGGCTTATTTCATAGAAATGTCTGAAACCTAGACACCATACTCCTTATGGGCCTGCTGGCTCCCGCAATGAACCAACATAATGCGTCAAACTGTAAGTTCACAATAGCTATTACTAATAATTAGTAGATAGAGAATATATTTCTCTTGTTAGCTGTTCCTATTTGCATGAATGATTAATTGAACGAATCAATCAATTTCCTACGCTTGTAGAAAAAATATTGTTCCTAACTCATGCGGAAAGTGTCTTTCCGCACTTGTTAGGAAAATTACTATTTCAGTGATTATGTTTCACACAGAGTATGGGACGAATTTTTTCCGTTTTATGAAAGCATTTTTGACAGAGGTGACAAATTTGACATTTTGCTTTTACCGTTCAACTTTTTTCTACAAAAATGGTATACTTCATTTTAATCAATATTTTTTTCAAGAACTTTATTCAGATAGCGCAAGAGAAAAACAACATACAGAGAAGTGCACAAAAAACGGCCGAGATTGTAACTTTTGAATTATTCTATATTGGGTTTTGAAAATTGATGGGTAGCAAGCATATCAAATTGCTCATTAATTGATGGAACAATTTTTCTTCTATCACTTCCAGTTTCACTGGAAACGACCCCAACTTTTGATTTTTGAATGGAACACCATGTATGGTATTCCATAATTAGGTTGGGTGTGACTTCGAAGTATCAAAATTTTTTTCTCTGTCTGAAATAACCCTATCAAACCCGGTATCGATGAATTCGTTATGACAATCCTTAACGGATTATGGAATACAATACATTCTCTATTGATCATTCCACTCCACTTTGAGCATGGACTACTACAGAAAATATATGTTGTAATTATTTTTCTATTTCCGAGACCAGCACTTAGGTGCTGCTTTGGATAAACCTTTATCAGATACTGCATCACTGAACTTACTGTAATGTAATGTAATACCCTATGGTAATACTGATATACAGAGAAGTGCACAAAAAACGGCCAGGATTGTAACTTTTGAATTATTCGAGATAGGGTTTTGAAAATTGGTGAGCAGCTAGTATACCAAATTGCTCATTAATTGACGAAACAAATTTTGTTTTATCACTTCCGAATTTACTGGAAACGACCCCAACTTTTGATTTTTACATGGTACACCCTGTATTGTATTCTATAATCCGTTAGGGATTGTCATAACGAATTCATCGATACCGGGTTTGATAGGGTTATTTCAATCGATTACGCAGATATTCGCATTCTAAGTTTCCATATGCTCAATGACAAAGTTTTGATACTTCGAAGTCACACCCAACCTAATTATGGAATACCATACAGGGTGTTCCATTCAAAAATCAAAAGTTGGGGTCGTTTCCAGTGAAACTGGAAGTGATAGAAGAAAAATTGTTCCATCAATTAATGAGCAATTTGATATGCTCGCTACCCATCAATTTTCAAAACCCTATCTAGAATAATTCAAAAGTTACAATCCCGGCCGTTTTTTGTGCACTTCTCTGTATTTTGTTTTTCTCTTGCGTTATCCGAATGAAGTTCTTGAAAAAAAAATTGATTAAAATGAAGTATACGATTTTTGTAGAAAAAAGTTGAACGGTAAAAGCCAAATGTCAAATTTGTCACCTCTGTCAAAGAAATTTTTTTTATTTATTCCATTTTATTTGGATATAATATCTATATAATATATTTTTACAATATGTTTTGCATTCTTATAGCTATACATATATTAGAATTATGACACCTAGGTGAAAACACACCTGTATATGTGTCTTGAATGGAAATGTTCAAAATGTACATGAATATTTTAGTGAAAAAGATTGAGGTGAACTGTTCATATTATGTTTATATGACATGTTTTAGAGTATACGGAGAAACTAAAAATATATACATTATCCTAAGAAAATATTATTATACAATTTCGAATAATTGTGGAAAATATGTATTTTGCAGATCTTTTTGAATCTATATTTTTGTAACAATTTTATATCAAACGGTAGAGTATTGTAACATTTGGGGCCTAAATAGTTCACACAATTTTTGAGAAACTCACTGTTCGGCTTATCAACTCCAATATGCATCTTAGATACAGCTCTAGTGTCATGACTATGATCGATACGAATTTTTAGGGATTCATGATTTTTCAGGTGACAACATACTGTATAAATGAATAAACATCTAATATTAGAAATTTTCTCATTATATAGTGAATAAGTTGGATACAACCTGTCTCTTTTATAAATAATCTTCAATGCTTTCATAAAACGCAAAAAATTCGTCCCATCCTCTGTGGGAAACATAATCACTGAAAAGTCGTTTACGTATGGAAGGGTGCATTAGTATGAGTTGAGTATGAGTTTATTCACCTGCCCCAAAATCATTGATACCATGGCAATCGTTTGAAAGTTATACATGGAATTCATTGTCTTATTCTAACTTTCAAGGTCAATAACTCCATAATGAAGCATGTGAGACATATTTTTCACATAAAGTACTAACATTATTTTGGCTAACGATATCAGCTCTATTATCATCAACAACGGTGGAATTCTGGTGTACAAACATGGAATTCCTTGAAATTCCTTGGATTTCCTTTGAATTCTTTGGATTTCCTTGGAATTCTTTGAATTTTCTTGGAATTCTTTGGGTGAAGTGTGGTATAATTCTGGTGTACAAACAACTGGAATTCCGTGTAATTCCTTGGTATTCCTTGGATTTCCTTGGAATTCCTTAGATTTCCTTGGAATTCATTGAAATTCCTTGGAATTCTTTGAATTTCCTTGGAATTTCCTGGAATTCCTTGAAGTTTCTTTTAATTTCTTGTGTGAAGTGCGGTATAATTCTGGTGTACAAACAACTGGAATTCCTTGGAATTCCATGTGAAATAGAAGTTTGGTGTACACAATTTTGACCATGGTTTACCCCTCAATCATTAACAACATGACCTTTCCAAACACCCTGTATACCTTAGGGCAATTATGTATGGGAACATCATAAGCTACCATGTTCTCATGGGATATGCTGAGACCACTGAATGATGCAGAATAGGTTTACACAAAGACACATTATAATATTAAAACCTTTTGGTGATAATCAAAATTAATATAATAAAAATTAAAGGACAAGATTCACAGTTGAGTTTGTATACCCCTGATTTTTTTTTAATTTGAGAGTTTTGGATTTATTATTTTTGAGAAACCTTTGAAAACATGTTATTTGTTCTATAGGCAACTTTCAAGTCCTCTATATGTAGAAAGCGAGGTAGGCCAGGTAGCCGTGCGGACAGAGTGTCCATATTCTAATCCGCATTCGCTTGCCGGTCGTGGGTTCGAGTCCCGTCGACTGCAGAAATTTTTCTGATGGCCCAAGAAAGTGTTTGGGATCACACGTTAAAAGGTAAGGCCCCCGTCATTCCTTGCTCGCACAAGACTCTCGAAGACTTCTGAGGGTTGCTCGTAAGGGGGCAACCGAATGACGGATAGAACAATTTTAGAACAATTTTTGTAGAAAGGGAGCTAATTTTTCAATTAATGATCCCAAATAGGTTAAAGTTCCATAATTTTCATTGTTTTTGATGGTGGGATAAACTTCTTGAATTGCTTTATTATGGAGTTTTTTAGAAATAATATTGTCAATCATTTCAATGTTGTGTAAATTGTTGACTGCAATCTGTTTTATGAAATTGAGTTCTTTATTGAAATTTCCTTCAGAAAGAGTATTTTGTACATCCTATTTAAATGTAGATACTGTGCCACTTTTCGAAAATGAAGGTTTATTGTACCTTTCCACAGGTATCTTAATCAATTAGATTGGGAAAGTGGGATATACAAGTTAGGCAAGTCAATGCAAGTTTAGTTCATTGTACCAGTATTTCACCTGGAGAATCTACTATGTTAGTGAAACATGTCTTGTAATTAAGAATTTTTTGGGAACCTTATCATTTGTGAAGTTTATACCTGGGTTTATACATTTATGAATGTATTAGTTATTGTGAAGTGAAAAACTCTGAAAAGAGAGCTGATGGGCGGTGCCTGAAAAGGATGTTAGCCAGCTCTCTTGAGCGAACCACATCAGTCATTGAAAAACACTTGGGGTTGGCAAAAAGGTCCCATTGGGGACTAGTTGCTGACGTGGAAACGTCCCCCACCAGTACCAGTACCAGTATTGTGAAGTATGTATGTATGTACATGAGGATATGAAGAATATGGATTATTTTTTGATGAATTTAACCAAGAAGTTCCATAGTAGAACATAAGGTAGACCAGCAAAAATCATTGTAAGAAATGCCATTTGTCTTTTATGTTATTATTAATAGTTTTGAACTAGAGACCCTGCTATTTTTTTGTAGACTCTACTAGAAAATGTTTTCAAGAAAAATCAAAACACATGGTACTGAGCATTGTAGTGAGGTTAGTGTGGGTTCTTTTAAGGATTGTATCAAGCTGTTTACTTGGGTTCAGCTTTTTTCTGAATTTGGGGATATATCAGGAGTTGATATTTGAGGTACTATTTGTGGATAAAATGTGTAAATGACTTTGACATGAGAATTAATTAAATAATTTTGATAATTTATCTTTAAACATTGGAAAAAATCAGGAAACTGGAATACCTTGTCATTTCATGAACACACTTGTAAACACTGACATTCTGGATTTGTCATCATTTTCAGATAAAAAACATAAGTCCAGAAAATTTAATAGGTGTACTTGTGAAAAATCTTTGGAATTGTTGTGATCTATTGATTGCAATGTTTCATTTTCTATAGCCTTTTTCATAAAATATTTAAATTTGCATATAAACATACCTTCTGTGAATGCAGAAGGGATAGTGATCATGTTTTCCATTGGGTCTGTGATCACTTCTTCTGTGACAACTTCAACATCTTGCAATACGGAATCAGCAATCATACATAGCTGTTCATCTGAAATATCCTCTGGTGATGAATAGTGGAATGTATATTGTTCATTTTCAAGTGATAACCCAATAACATCACTGTCTTTCAGAGGAGAACTTCTACTGGATTTAATCAAAATTCCATTCAGGTAGGTTCCATTTGTACTCTAAAATAGTTAACCCAGCAAGTCAACAATAACCAGTTATACAGAAGGAACATACAGTATCTTGAAGAATCCATCTACTTTCTTCATTTTTCTCCAGGAAACAGTGTTTTCTAGATACAACTGTGCTTGGAATCACAAAGTTACAAACAAGACCCCTGCCTATTGTGAACTAAAAATGAAGGTACTTTTCATTGTATGGGATGAAAATTATATTATGGAGGCTACTCAAATTTGAATTATTTTCATTTCAATAAAGGTGCTTACAGGACTTGTATTAACTTCAATGATATTGCCGCTTTCAATATTTTTCAAAGTTGGATTCTCAACACATGCCATTTTCTATGAATTATGAATTATTTGGACTTTTTAAACGAACATTAATTATTAACATTACATAGCAAAGACCAGAAAATAAATATGGTTGGAAAAATAAGACTATGACAAGAAGACATTTCGGTTGGTTCCTTTGATATTCAAAACATTTCATTTCATGATTTCTTCATATTTCATCCGTCACTGTAATATGTCATTTCATGGTCATCTCTGTCATCACTGTCATTACTGTCATCTATCATCTATTCCTCCATAATTCCAGCACCGCGCAAAAATTCAGGTAACCATGACTTTCGGTCTGATTACAAGTATTATTCCTGAGTTCGTGGTCGAGAAAGAAGCTTCCTCAGCAATTAGTGAGTGGTGCGGATTAACTGGGTTACCTTCACCTTCTACTTCAGTTCAAAAACTTTGGGATATTCCACTAGTAAATAGAGTTTGGGACAAAATCATATCTTCTGCCTCTGTCCGTGACAAAGCTAGACTTCAGGCAGTTTCATTGAAAGAGTCTGGATCATGGCTCAATGCATTCCCAATACCTAGCCTTGGTAATTTCCTCGATGACAACTGTCTGAGAATTTCTGTTGCATTACGTCTAGGTGCTGAATTATGCTGTTCATATAAATGCATTTGCGGTACTGAAGTTGATGTATATGGTCATCATGGTCATGGATTGAGCTGCAATAAAAGTTCAGGAAGATACACGCGTCATTCAGCAATCAATGATGGAAACGTTCAAGGTATCCTAGAACTAGTTATAAGCATCTCACCTAGAACCAAGGAGAGTATACAGAGACCTGGATTGTGCCGTGATGATGGTAAAAGACCTGATGGAATGTTATTGATACCTTGGAAGCGTGGAAAAGCTCTGATTTGGGATGTCACCTGTGTAGATTCATTAGCTGATTCCAATAAAGTTTCATCTATCAAAGCTGCTGGAACCGCTGCTTTTGAGGCTGAGAAAAAAAGTGCGAAAAATATAAATGTTTGGAAGACAAGTTCATCTTTATGCCATTAGGATTCGAAACTTTTGGACCTTGGGGACCTTCAGCCAGAGAAATGATTTCAACTATTGGCCATTTGATTTATGCTCAAAGCAGTGAAGATAGATCTACTGAATACCTTCGCCAAAGAATTTCAATTGAGATTCAGAGAGGAAATGCTGCTTCCATTCTCAATACTATTCCATCTAGCAAAGGACTCGAAGAAATTTTTTATGTACTGGGTGATGCTTTTTCAATAAAAACAAGGACTTGTGCAAGCAGATCTAAACAAGAAGATTCATGTGAACTCTTTAAACCCATCCATGCTGTTGATCTCCCACCCACATCAAGTGTCGTTGAGTCATTACCGAATCACCAGTCAACCTATTCAACTCCATATGATATTCTAACTGAAGATCTAGATTCAAAATCGATATATCTCCGCTCCAGCGATAGAAATTGTGAATACTGGTCCAAGGATTCAATATCATGGAAGATTTCGGGACTCAACGGCTTGAAGAACACTGGGAACACGTGTTTCATGAACAGTATAATTCAGTGCCTGTCTCACACTAAGTGGTTGTTGGAGTTTTTGAGAATGGACTTTAATAACAGAGACATCAAAACGAGTATATCCAGCACGAAGGGATCTTTGATGAAGGCTTTCGCAGAAGTCATAAAAAAACTGTGGTCGGAGGATTCGACTGGCCAAGGTGTGGATATGTCTCTTTGAAGGGCGCAATTCAAAGATTTGCGCCGTGTTTCATCGGCACTGCACAGCAAGACTCTCAAGAGTTCCTGCGGTTCCTGCTCTTGGGTTAGCACGAGGATATCAATGAGGTCATCGAGAAGCCGGATCCTAAGTTTACTGACATCGCTGAAATTCTTGATGTCAACGAAAAGGCTTCGGAATCATGGTAGAGATTCTTGAAAGTGGATAATTCGAAGATAGTGAATAATTTCGTTGATCTGCTCAAGTCTTCATTGAAATGCACGTATTGCAGCTATTCGTCAGTGACGTTTGAGCCCTTTTGGGATTTGTCATTGCCAATACCACAGTAAACACGCAAAATCAGTTTGTTTCAGTGCTTGGACTCATCCACCAGAGAGGAGTCATTGGATGGAGAAGACAAGCCTACTTGCTCCAAATGCAAGGAAATGCGAAAATGTACAAAGTCATTATCCATTCAGAGGTTCCCTGAAATTCTTGTCATCCATCTGAAACGTTTCTCGCTGGATCGGTTCGTAGAAAAACTGAACGTCTTTGTTGATGTACCTTCAGACAAACTCGATATGAGTCATTACGCTGCCGATGGAAGTGTATCATTCCAGTACGATCTCTATGCTATTTCGAACCACAGCGGTGGCATCATCAGTGGTCACTATACAGCCTATTGCAAACATCCGTACTCGAACATCTGGCACGAATTCAACGATAGTCGTGTTTCAAAATTTTTTTCAGATTTGATCATCAGTAGAAAAGCGTATATACTCTTCTATCAAAAAAATACCCAAATTGTATCAGAGTTATTGGAATGAATTTATACAATATGATTTAGGTACTAGTTTTGGTCATGTTTAGGCCAAATCAAATGGACTCTCTTTTCGTTTTATTTCTACAGATCTCTCAGAATAGACTTATTTCTATAACTGTATTCACTACATGTACCACTATTATGTATTACTATCTTTATTATTCCTAAATAAATCAGAACGATTTTAGCTATGGCGGTATACTCGCTGTATACAATGCGGTATATTGGCGGCTTGGCTGTATTCGCGGGAATCAATGTTACCAGGTGGCGCTCGGTTTTCATCGTTCCATGTCAAAGCCACGACAAAACGGGGGGAAAACAAACTCAATCCTCACTCAATCCCATTAGTGCCATTAGCTTGTGTACTGTGTACTGATAAGAGTGATAACACTTTATGTTATTGACAAGTTTGACAACTACAGCTACAGCAAGATAATATTCGCGGGAAACAATGTTACCGGGTGGCGCTCGGTTTTCATCGTTCCATGTCAATGCCACGTCAAAACTGGGGGAAAACAAACTCAATCCCATTAGTGCCATTTGCTTGTGTACTGTGAGTGATGTTTTTAAATTTCTTGACGTTAATTGTCAATATTCGATCGAAAACGCTAATAATGCCTGTTGTATATGTTCTTTTGGCAGATATTTTGCTCTATTTAGATGTAAAAAGGCGACCAGTAGTGGAAGGAGAAGCATTTCTCCGTGCTAATCATGTATATATGTTGTATACTTGACACAAGTATACAGGGTGTCCCTGGACCAGTGGGACAGTTGAATATCTCCTGAACCAATAGGAATTTTCAGAATATTATGATTTCACATCATATCGCATCATGAGTGCTAACTTCAGGAATGACTATATTTTATACGAGGGGCGCAAGAAAGGCTCACAAAATCAAACAACAATTTTTTCAAATGGAACACCCTGTATTTCATTGCATTTTTATATTCTCCTTGAAGAGCTGACTTCAACGACCTAGCACACTTGGGGTCCAGCGGGAATGATTTCCGAGATATAGGGTGTGGAAAATCGAGATATTTCATTTTTGGGAATTTTTTGTGTCAAAACTATTCATTATTGGTCAAAACGGCTCACATGTCCATATCTTAATTTTTGATTTACTATTTACTCGTATTTAATTGAAACAAATACAGTGTGGTGTAGAATTCTCAGTTTCAGTCAGAATTCTACACCACCCTGTATTTGTTTCAATTAAATACGAGTAAATAGTAAATCAAAAGTTAATATATGGACATGTAAGCCGTTTTGACCAATAATGAATAGTTTTGACACAAAAAATTCCCAAAAATGAAATATCTCGATTTTCCATACCCTATATCTCGGAAATCATTCCCGCTAGACCCCAAGTGTGCTAGGTCGTTGAAGTCAGCTCTTCAAGGAGAATATAAAAATGCAATGAAATACAGGGTGTTCCATTTGAAAAAATTGATGTTTGATTTTGTGAGCCTTTCTTGCGCCCCTCGTATAAATTATAGTCATTCCTGAAGTTAGCACTCATGATGCGATATGATGTGAAATTATAATATTTTGAAAATTCCTATTGGTTCAGGAGATATTCAACTGTCCCACTGGTCTAGGGACACCCTGTATAAGTAACGATTGATAGTCATTCTGGATTTCTGGCAAACCAGCAAACAACTCAAAAAAATACACTGCCAAAATCCATTACATACACACAAGTACAAGGTACAAGACAAGTTTACAATAATTATTGTAAACTCAGAGGAATAAAAGAAATATTCGTCTGACATTGTACACTGTACATAACCACAAATAATAAGAAGTAGCTGGGTGAAAATCAAACGCGCGCGAAAGGCAGCTGCGAATGATCCGAAGGTGATCGGACATCGTCGGATTCAGAGAGCCTTCGGTGCTTGTAGACGCTTGTTTATTGTTGCGGATTGCGGATACACCATGGAAGTATATAATATACGTCCATGGGATTCACCGACCGTAGCAAACATTTTTTCATCGGAACCGGTCGGGCGGGTCGGGTCTCATCGTCGAAGACAAGGATAAACAAAAATTTCTGGAGCGATAGCACGCGGTGGGATGGGATCTGCAATTCTGTACAAAAGTGTAGTAATCTGTACAATTAGTTCATACATGTTCTGTGTGCCTAGTGGAGTCGCTACCTCACAGTGGCTAAACGATAGATGAGGGGATGAGCGGGGCATCGACTCGCAAATAACACAGGTTGGGCATCTTCCCAGCGTAAGCGTAATATATCAATCAACGCTCTGATCCTTGCAGTTTTTTTCATTGCTTGGCAGGAGGTAGGTATTAGAATTTTTTTTTGAACTTTTGGAGATTATATGTTGTTGGAAATACTTCCACAGGCAATGAATTCCAGAGCCTAGCCGTTCTATGGATGAAAGAGTTTTGATAAAGTGCTGTTCGACATCTTTCGAGGTTGATCTGCCGATTACCTTTGTGATTGAGGCGGGCATCCACTTCTTTTCATTTACTGCTCGATAGTCTCGAATCATCACCTCCTCCCCCACGGAAAATTTCCGAAGCCTACCACTATACTGTAATGTTTAGCTTGCTTTTCCTGACTTTTCTTTATCATTTCCGCAGTTGGGTCTGGATCCATCCTCTGTCTGGGTCTCAACAAGTTAAACCTGGTCCTCATGGGTCTCCCTAGCATGATGTTGGCTGGTGTTTATTCTTTAGTAGTTTTGTGCACCGCATTCCTATAAGCAAATAGAAATTTGGATACCAATGTTGACAGCTTCTCATTTCTATTTTCCTTGTCCAACAAAGCTGCCTTCATTTTTGCTTTAAATGTTTTGACCGCATTTTCTGCCTGCCCGTTTGATTGAGGCCCCACTGGTGATGTGATATGCTTTACTCCATTCTTTGATAGGAACATCCTAATTCTCTCTGATACTAGCTGTCTTTCATTGTCAGTAACTAAAATAGATGGTAATCCAAACCTTGCAAAATCGTCTCTGAATTTTTCTTCAGCCTCCCCTGAAGTCATTGTTCTGACTGGGTACACTTCCGGGAATTTGCTAAAAGAATCTATCAAGATTGAAAACATTTTCAATCTTCCAGGGGGTATACTCCTCCTTCGGTAGGTCAGGCCTTTGATGGATACACGGTATGCAGGATTTTATCATCTTCTCTATATCCTCATCTATCTTTGGTCACCATAGATAGCTCCTTGCCAAGGATTTGGTTTTTCCTATATCTAAATGTGATGAATGCAGTTCGATCAGGATTCCTGGCCTCAATTTCTTAGGTAAGTATAATCACTCGATATCCCCAAAGTAGTATACCTTTTTTCCATGAAAGCTCATGTTCCTTCCTCAAATATGGTTGGATAGTTTCTTCGATCACGTCTGGCCATTCATCCCTCTTAATACATTCCATTATTTTTCTTGATTCTGGGTCTTCCTTCGTTTCCTTACTAACTGCTGTTCTATCTATAGGCCAAGAAGTGCTGCTCTTCACAAAATTCTGGAATTCTCCTTTCTGTTCATATTCTTCGTCCACTATATTCACTCTGATGGGCGACCTGGGTAAAAAATCTGTCATAAAATTATTTTTGCCCTGAATATATTCTATTTTTTAGTTAAAACTTGCTAGGTACAATGCCCATCTTTGCAGTCGACTGGCGTACATTTATGGTTTCTGCTTATGCTCCCCAAAAATAGTTGTCAACGGTTTCTGATCTGTCCTCAGTGTGAATTTATGTCCACCATGTAGATATTGTTGAAATTTCCTCAACCCATAGACAATTCCCAAATCTTCCTTGTCCAAAGTTGAGTATTTTTATTCAGCTGGCATGAGTGTACGGGATACACAAGCAAAAGGTTTCTCTACTCCGTTTTCCATTATGTGTGAAAGCATACCTGCTATTCCACTGTTCGATGCATCTGTTGTTAAAACCAATGGTAAGTTGGGGTTGAAATGAACTAGCGTAACATCTCTTGCAATTGCCTCTTTCATATCCTGGAATGCCTCTTCACACTCATTTGACCATTTGAACTGGGTGTCCTTTTTCAGCAATTTGTAAATTGGCTTTAGCCTACCTGCCAAGTTTGATACAAACTTGCTATAATAATTAACCATTTTCGCAAATGACCTTACTTCTGTTACTAATTTGGGTCTGGGAGCTTGAACGATGGCCTCAACCTTGTCATCTGTCTTCCTTAGACCTTCTGATAT